AAAAAAAAAAAAAATTGCTCGAAATAGCAAACGAAAATATCAAACCTTACTCACTGAATTGTTAGGAGGGAGTAAGCAGCGATGCTTCAATTCACAGACTGAAACTTAAGACCCGAACCGAACCATCCTTATATATAGTGCTTAGCCTGGGAGTCCAAATCTATTAAACTACTGGTGAGTGGTGACCTGCTCTTAACAAATCTCTGGTCGACGTGATCAAAGACTTTGAGAGACGTAAATAAAGATGCAATTTTTAACTAGCTGTAATCTATCTCTACGTTTAAAAGGTTAGACACTTGGTTGTGTTTGTTATTATTTTACAATACATGAATCATGAGGTGGCGACTCGGGTGGGTCATTAAAACCCGGTTGCCTTTCAACAGAGTTTGTCTTTGCTCCCGTAGGGGGTAGGGCTGTGAGCGTTCTCCAAAAATGCACTATACCCGACCCGGTTATATCTGATCTGGATGTTAAAACTTGCATTCGTTTGGTAATCGATCGAATTGGATGGGATTTGACCTCATCCAATCGGAGTCCAATTATATATGACCCAATCTTTACCAAATTACGTACTTAGCTAGATAGAGATAATTAATGTTTATCTGATCCCTTGTCGATCGACGTCTTCTGCGCCTGGTTATCTATCTGTAATCTATCTATATCTATCAAAAAAAGAAAAGAAAACTATCTATGCTGCAAGCTTAGAAAGAAGCAAGTGGGATTTGGGAAGAACACAGATGAGAAATAGTTCATCTTAGAACGCAGAAGACCTATTTGACTGTTTTCTCAAACAAAAAAAAAAAAAAAATTCTTGAACCGAGTACTGGCTGTACTTAAAACCATAGAATTAATTACACGTATTGGAAGGCAAGATTAGTCATTAGAATAGTACCTAGCTGATTCGGTTGGGTACGTCCTATTCCGGTGGTGCATTTTGGTCCATGACAAGTTCAAAAAGATGCAGCTCGATCAAATGTTGGATTACCATGGGAGAGAAACTTGGAACCAGGAACCAAACATCTGATACCGGTGAACGATCATACTTGAACATGGACAAAATCTAGAAAAAACGAAAATGAAAATGAAAAAAAAAAACTTTTTCCAGTAATTAATAGGAGATGTTTACAAAATGTCAAATGTTGCTTATGTAATTTGTTGGCAAATTTTATAATTATCTATGGATACATAAACATGGGGATGGACTTCCTGCTAGCTGCTGGAACTTGAATGAAGTTGTAGTAGAAGAAAATCTAAGTGAAGTAAATGACAATAGGACTCCTCACTGTATGAACATTGTCTTTCCACTCTAGAGACGCAGATAATACATATGGTGGAACATTCGATGCTGGGACTCTCACTGTTACCTTAAAGATCTGGTTCTCGTATTGACGTGAGAATTTGAGTGTCAATGGTTCAACGATGATCTCTACTCCTGCAGGTGCAAGCACAGTTGCTGTGTACTCTGCAGGGCCATTGTCGACGTTGGTGACTGTCCTCCAATACACAGCCTCTGATGGTTTCTTGCGGTTACGAATAGGAAATAGAATGCTCGGGTAGTTGAGGTCGTCCCGTCCACTCGGTGGAGCGTACGTACTGCAGTTTACAAGCGAATAAGCACCGTAGAACTTATTTACGATGGAACTGGGACCAAACAGATTGCAGAGGAATTTTACGTATGATTTCTCATTGAGATCATACACCAAACCAGGATCAGCTGCTCGAAGCGGATCGATCTGTCCAGCACCGTATGCAAAATCTCTTAGCTTGGCATATTCGAATGACATGTTCACTGCTTTTGCTGCAAAGCATTAACATTAACTTAGCACGGTAATAAGCTGTGGGTTTTGAATCTTGACAGTTAATTAGCAAGCTCAGAAAACTTACTAGTAGTCATAAGGGCAGACTTGATAGCTGCAGGAGACCAGGTGGGATGTAAGGATTTGATATAGGCTGCTGCTCCTGCTGCAAATGGAGCCGCCATGGATGTTCCAGATCTAAGAAGAAAGTTGGAGAACCTCTTATCATTTGGTTTGCCAGTAACTGATGTCTTCAAAGTACTGGCAGCCAATATGTGTTTCCCCGGTGCAACAAGATCGGGCTATCATAATAGATAACAATTTTATGCATAATTAGCTTCTCATATACTTCAGAGTTCAGAAACCCAGTTTAATCATCTGACTAATACCACAGACTGAACCATTTTTGGACTAAAATCTTAACAAGATGATATATACCTTAAGGATGTTTTGGTAGACTGGATTAGGTCCACGGGATGAAAATGAAGCTACAAATGGAGCTGGTATTTGAATTTCTTCTGACTTGTAGATAGTTGCTTGTGGATTCCTGCATCAACAGAAACTTAGAAGGAATTAGTATTTTTCTCAAGCATCTTCTTCTTTCTCAAAGTCTTTTCCATCTTTTTTTTTTATTGATTTGTATAGTTCATCATGAAATCCATCTTACTGGGTATTTTCTATATAGTCCGAGAGAACTTTGCCATCAACTTCCCCCAAAACAGTCACTGGTAAAGAGAAAACTTCTGGAGTATCAGCAATGTCGCTTACTTGCATAATAGCGCCCGATCCTCCTCCTTCACTAATGATTTCACCAGCTTTTCCAGGCCCACCTATTGTTAAGCAGAATACAATCTTGTCCTTTATCAAAGTAACGTTCAGCGATCCTTCAACACATCGTCTAAGCAAATAAGCAAACGTTTGTTTTTCTCAATTTGTCATTGTTATAAGGAGAAAAGCAAATCAAATTGAAAAGAAACCAGAAGTGTTTTGTAGTTAAAAGCTCTTTCTTGGGAGGAATTCAAAAAAGAAAAACTCCGTTTGATTTGGCTAGAATCAATCAATATCTCAGTTGTTTTGAACCAGATAAAGATGGTGCGTGCATTCCCTCAAATCTACTGAGGTTTTTTCTTATTAATTTCCCTTTCAATGGGGGACTTACGATGCCAACATAACTGATGTTCCTTCCAATGAAACAGCATCAGAGCCTCTGATCAGAGGGTACATGGAATTTGCCATGTCAAAAGTGTTGACAGAAATTCCCTGGGGAGTAAATTGGATAGAGTAGTTGACCAGTCAGTAGTTGGATTGAAGTGATGATCAAGAAAGACGGTAGTAATTAAAAAAAAAAAAAAAAAAGAGTACTACTTTTGCTTACAGTTAAGTTGTTTCCATTGTCAAGCACAACTCTGGTCATAAATTGCCTATCAGTGGTGGTGGCACCTACAGTCAGCATCCAGGGAGAGAAGTTAACCACGCTCCCTTCCAAGGGGCCATCATTTCCAGCTGAGGCGATGGTGAGAATTCTCTTCTGCATTGCATGGAAGGAGCCGATGGCTATGGCATCGGTCACCGAGTAGCCAGGATCCTCACCAACAGAGAGGTTGATGATGTCCACCCCATCTGCTATGGCATGATCAAATGCCGCAAGGATATCTTCATCACTGCAATAGCCATCGACGTAACAGACCTTGTAAACTGCAATCCTCGCAGAGGGAACAGCTCCACGAGCATCTCCAGCTGCCAGGCCAAAGAAGTTTGCTCCCTCCACAACACGTCCTGCTATGATTGAAGCCGTGTGAGACCCATGCCCCCTGTAGTCTACAGGAGATGCTACGTCTGGTGCAGGGATATTTTTGTCTACTTTGAACCATCTTGCTCCTATGATTTTTCTTCAATAACACCATCCATATCAACATCTAAATATTTAAGACCCAAAGAAGAAGAAGAATGGTCTCTGGATATATATATATATATATATATATATATATATGACTTACTTGTTGCAGGTAAAGTCGTCAAACGGGCCACATGTTCCTTTCCATTTGGCCGGTGGTGGACCCAAATTCGTGTCGCTGAAGCACTCAGATTGCATGTTGATTCCTGTGACAGAGCACAGATCTCAAATTGATGAAGGCACCATGGGAGAGAACTCATATTCATATAGATGAATGCGAGTTGAATAAGTTGTTTGTTAATGAAAGTGTATTAGTACCGGAGTCTAAAACACCCACAATAATATTGCTCTCAACAACACGATCTCTTTTAACCAGCAGGTCGGAAAACCCCAGAAAATCCCATGCCTTGGTGGTGTGGAGCTTGTGCTTTCCACTCTTGAATACACTCACCACACCTTCCGTTTCTGCAACCGAAACCACTCAAACGATCAATCGATCACTCTTTGGAATTCCAGTTGAAATGCAAAACTTAGAAACACGAACCTGACAACTTACGTGCCTCGTCCTCAGTCAGGTTGGCGACAAAACCATTAAAACTTCGTGTGTAGCTGTGCATGATGCGTTCTTTAGCGACTTCAGAGCTGCCCAGATCAAGTAACAAATTAACACTCTCAGAAGCCCATAATAGGTTCTACCCAACTCGGCAACTCCAATTCAAGAGAAATCAAGAAATACCTTCCAAGCGCATCGGTTAAAATTTTATGGTGTGACTCCGGTACGTCCACAGGTTGATGATGAGGAAGTTGTCCCATATAGACAATGTACTTCTGTTATTTCCCTCAAAGAATTGATCAAACCAAAACCGAGATCAGCATCCAAAGAACAGAAAAACAGCTGCATTAAGCGTACCTCTTTAGTGGCAACAACCAATAAGGACAGCCCCATGGAAACGAAGAAACAGAAGAGAAACAACGTCGAGCTGCCGGCAGTGCAAGAAGATGACCTCCCCATCTCCATGATGGGTTTGGCTGCAACAGCTAATCCCACCCGACTCTGAGAGAGATGCTTCTGCGTGGGGAGGTGCGGTGCTTCCGTGGGAGGGGAGGGTTGGAGGTGGAGAGCAGAAAATGGCGGATTCTACACGTTTACTTGGGTTTGCTTCGTTTCTAGCATCGATTAGGAGGTTAGAGCTTTTCTTCGGCTGGGAAATCGCTTGTATTTTAAATTTGACTGATTGTTGAAATTACTGGCGTTTTTATTGGTGAATGGACATGATACCAGAAAAGCTTACAACCAATCAACCGCATCATAAAAATAGTAACCAATCGGGTGGGATTTCATCAAAATTGGTCAAAACCTTTCCGGTGTCATTTCATTTCTTTCCAGGATCATAGATTTTCAGGAAATAAACAGGAATGTTGGAAAAGGTCGGCCGCATGTTTCGAAGGCTGGAAGTTGAATGCAATTTTAATTTGCATTGAGATCACCCCAAATATAACGTAACTGTTAGTCTGTTATGATACTCGCTAAAATAAAATCTGGTATCTATATTATTAAAACTCTTTAGGCGTTTCTATATTATTAAAATAAAATCTCTAACTCCCTTCTGAACTTCAAATTTATCTTTACTCGAAAAAAAACTTCAAATTTATCATATATCTAACTTCCTTAAGTGTATTCTTAAATTTACCAACTGACGGTTCCTTGTTTAGTTGGTAGGATTTCTAACTCGTTATAGAATTTGAATCTAGTCCTCTCAAAACCTCCCTCATAACATTTTGCAGTCATGCATTAGGATCTATATTTTTTTACTGATGGGAGATACTCCCACTGCACAGCTGCAACAAGTGAGGACAGTTTTGTGAGGATTGAATTAATTCCTTGTTGTAATTAGGGGTGCAAATGGATCAGATCCGATCCTATTTGGTTGAATTCGGATTACCACTGGTTGGAATTTTGGATTCGGATTTGGATCCTCCTCCCCCCTGTCTAATCTGAGAAGATCCGATCCGATGTGTTATATATTTATAAATATAAATATATAATACATATATAAATTTATTATACTATTTATTTTTTTTATAAAACATGTATATATGATGAAAAGAATTAAAAAATACTTGTATTTTTTGTTTTTTCTTTATTTAAATTGCTATATTTTATTTTTTATTTTAATAATTTATTATTTTTTAAAGAAAATAAGTCAGATCAAATCAGATCTAAAGATCCGATAGAATTTGAATTTAGATTGAGTCCTATTATATCCGATTTGATCTTCAGATCGGATCGGATCCAACATGAATAGTGTCAGATTGAATTCAAATATACCCTTATTCGAATCCGATCTGATCCATTTGCATCCCTAGTTGTAACAGAGACATAGGATCAAATCCCACTGCTGCCAATTAGGATTGAGGGTTAAGGGGATGGGGGACGAAATACCTCCATTGTGTAGCCCTATGAAGCCAAAAAAAAATGTCTACTTAAATCTCTCTCTCTCTCTCTCTCTCTCTCTCGGCTACGATATGTAAAATGGGCATCTAATCGCACATCAAGAGTACCTCTCGTACATATATGTATATACCATCAACAGTATTGTCAGTGAAGCACAGAGTCAACAAACCTTGTGTGCCCAACAAATTGTTCCATCCACAAATAACCATCAAAAGACAAGAACTAAGATAAATAGCAAATTTTATAAAACTTTCCAATTTGATCAACTAGTGTAAAAAACATGAAGAAATAGAAATATTTAAAAAGAATAAAAAAATAATAGTTGGGTCTATATCATGTGAAATTGAAAGTTAGAAAAAAAAAGCATAATACAGGCAACCGCACAATAATGGATCGACTAAGTCTAGAATTTTAATCTTTCTATAAAGAAACTAGGATGGTTTATTTAGTAATTTATTTTATTATTTTTAAAATTTGTAATCATTTTCATTTATTGGTTTACCATTTTTAATGCTTTGTAGTTATTTTACTAGTGGGGGCCCATGCACTACACGGGTTTTGTTAATCAAGAATGAAATCAAGACTTATAAACAAATTTAAAGAATCAAAAGAACGATTTAATCAATTTGTCAAAGAATCAATATAATAATATAATATAATACAATATTATTATAATTACATTTATTAACATAACTAATATAAATTATTTTTATTAATATAATCATTACAAAGAGAAATTAATTAATAAAAAATAATTAACCACACTAAAAATAATTTAATAATTTACTTAAAAATTCAGTATTACAATAATAATAATAATAATAATAATAATAATTATTATTATTATTATTATTATTATTATATAGATACCATTCATACTATAATTATAAATATTGTTTTTTGATAAATATTGTATTTATTAAAATATTGTTAATTATTAAAATTCTATAATTATACTTTATTTATCAATAAATTATTTATTTATCAAAATAAATACTTTATTTTTTATAAATACTATATTTATTAAACTACTTTTATTTATTAAAATACTGTTAATTATTAAATACATTATTTTTAATAAATACTGTATTTATTAATTGAATTATAATTACTGTTAATTACAGTTTAAAAATAAGTACTGTTAATTATTATTACTGCTAATTAAATGCTGTTAATTATTTAAAAATACTGTAATTATTTAAAATAAATGCAACTATTAAATACTCTTAATTATTAGTATTATTTTATTTTTATGCAAATAAAATTGCAACAACAGCGAAAGAAAATAACATAAAACACGTAAATAACATAAAGCATCCAAAAATTTTCAAATAGATGGAAACATCAAAAACAAAAAGAATCTACACCAAATGATAACAATATTGCAACAACAAATTGGAAACACATCAATCACGTAAATGACATAAATAAAGGAAACATTTTAATAAATACTGTTAATTAATTAATAATACTATAACTAATAATGTTTTTAGTTAATAAATAATGTATTTATGAAAAATATTTTTAATTATTAAAATACAGTTCATTAATAATACTGTTAATAAAATACAGTATTTATTGAAAATAATTTTAATTGATTAGATACAGTTAATTAATAATGTTATTAAAATACTGTAATTATTAATATTTTTCTTTAATTAATACTATATTTATTAAAATACTGTAATAGTTATAATAGTGTAAATTAATAAATTACTGTTAACTATTAAAATACTGTAATTATTAGTACTGTTTTTATAAATACTATATTTACTAGACTACTGTTATTTATTAATATACAGTTAATTATTAAACACACTATTTTTAATACAGTTTTTAATAAATACAGTATTTATCAATTGAATTATAATTACATACTGTTAATTATTTAAAAATAACGTAATTATTTCAAATAAATGTAATTACTGTTAAATATAATTAAATTATAATTACTGTAATTACTTTTTTAATAAATACTGTTAATTATTTAAAAATACCATAATTACTGTATTTGTAACTATTAAATTATAATTAGCAGTAAACTACTGTATTTGTAACTCTTCAAAAATACGGTTAATTAAACTATAATTACTGTTAATTACAGTTTAAAAATATTTACTGTTCATTTATTTCTATTTTCTAATAAATACTGTTAATTATTTAAATATACTGTATTTACTGTAATTATTTATGTTACAGTTAATTAACAGTAAAATTATTTAAAATACGGTTAATTAATAAAATGTTGTATTCATTAAGGTAATAAACTAAATGTATTTATTGAAAAACGAATTATAATTACTGTATTTATTAAAATACATTAATTATTTAAAATACTGTAATTATTAAAATACATTAATTATTTAAAATACTGCAATTATTAAAACAAATACATTATTTTTAATTAATACTGTTAATTAAACTACTATTAATTAAAATAATGTATTTAAAATACTGTATTTACTGAAATTATTAAATTCTCTAATTAATTAAATTATAATTATTGTTATTTATTAAAATATTGTTAATTATTAAATACATTAGTTTTAATACTGTTTTTTATAAATACTATATTTGATAGTTGAATTATAATTACTGTTAATTAACGGTATTTAATAAATTCTGTTAATTATTTAAAAATACAGTAATTATTTAAAATAAATGCAATTATTGATAAATGTAATTAAATTATAATTATTTTTTTAATAAATACTGTTAATTATTTAAAAATACCGTAACTACTGTTAAATTACTGTATTTGTAACTATTAATTTATAATTAGTGTTAAATTACTGTATTTGTAACTATTAAATTATAATTTGTGTTAAATTACTGTATTTGTAACTATTAGACAATACAGTTAATTGAGCTATAATTACTGTTAATTACAGTTTAAAAATATTTACTGTTAATTTATTTATGTTTTCCAATAAATACTGTTAATTATTTAAATTTCTGCTAACTATATTGATGTTAATTAACAGTAAAATTATTTAAAATATGGTTAATTTATAAAATGCTGTATTCATTAAAGTAATTACATAAATGTAATTAAAAGAAATGTATTTATTGAAAAACAAATTAATTACTGTAATTATTAAAATAAATACATTATTTATAATAAATACTGTTAAACTTGAGGGGTGAATTTGTAAATTGCACGATGTTCAAACATCCCAACATTCAGATTACTGAAAACTCCCCTATATTTAGATGTCTACAAAAGTAGAAAAAGAAATATTCCACTGAATACCTTTACAACAATGGAAACACTCTGCTAAGGACTAATTAGATCACCCAACACCCCTTTCAACCTATTTAGACCTTAGCAATGATTTTGTAGGTAATAATGTTAGACAGACTGATGGATTTAAATTGACTAATTTCGTATAATGCTCAATTTGGAAGGAGTACAAATACAAATATATGGAGTGCAAAATCTTGTATTTTGTATTATTTTACATATATTTGTACTGTATATATTTGCTTGTGTACTCTTTCCAAACTGAGCCTAAACAATCCCAATCCCCCAAGTGCAGAAGTGAAACATTCAACTAGTTGCTAAAATAACTATAAAGCTAAGAAGTTGATTCTTCTAGAGTAATCAGTTCAATGTACACCCAAAAGCAAGACCATTTCATATCATTTTTGTCCTCAATTTTAGTTAGAATACCACGTCTACTACTATTCACAATCTCCAGATTTACATGCTTCTGCCAAAATAACATGAAGCCCCCAACAACACCAACCACATCAACAATGAAACACTTCCAGCCCACAGAGAGTTTCATAATATTTTTTAATTGTCTGAATTCTAATGGGTCTCCGTAATAAAACCAATGTATGGGTGGTTGTCAGATGCAACAGCAAGCCTTGGAAAAAATTGTATGATCATTTATGTTGAATTTAGACCTAGGGCCCATTATGGGAGGGCTGAGATGATGAAGATTTAATTAATTGGTTTAGCTCCCTTTGAAGTGTTTGGAAAAAGCTAGGGTAAATTACAGATATGTACCATATACTTTGAGGGTAGTGACAGATAGGCACTTTAACTTTCAATTGCAACATTTGAGTAACCTTAACTTTTAACAATAAACACATGGGCCCATGCACTAATATTATATCAGTTAAACATTACATAATTTTAAAAATACCCTTCTTATGTATTTCTAAGATCATTCTCAAGTAGTCGAACGTCTCCCCACAATGTCATTTTCCCATAAATAGCAAATAACAAATTCAAAATTTTCGACGACAACATTCTTTGGTGATGATTTTACTTCATAAAATGATCTAAAAAATTCACGAGAATAGCATGTTTGAGATTATGTAATGTTTAACTGACGGAATACTAATGGATGAATGCACATGTTTATTTTCAAGAGCTCAGCAAACAGCCTTTATTGCCTTACATTGAGAATATCTTAGCACTTGTGTGCTTTATTTCATGGGGTGATAGTCCCAATGCAAGGTTGAGAAAGGCTATTAAAACGGTGTAGGTACAGGTTTGCCTTGATGGAAGCCGATCTCTAAAGGAATTCGGCTTCAATCAGGGCATAGTTAGTTCAAGAAGCCTTTATTGCCTTACATTGAGAATATCTTAATACTTATGTGTTTTATTTCATGGGGTCATATTCCCAATGCAAGGTTGAGAAAGGCTGTTAAAACGGTGTGGACATAGGTTTGCCCTGATAGAAGCCAATCTCGAAATGAATTCGGCTTCAGTCAGGGCATAGTCTATTCAAACAACCTTTATTGTTTTACATTGAGAATATCTTAGTACTTATATGCTTTATTTCATGAGGTGATATTCCAAATGCAAGGTTGAGAAAGGCTGTTAAAAGGGTGTGGGCACAGATTTAGCTTAGCGATTCAGCTGCTTTGAGGTGCTAATGTAACTAAAAGAGGCTAAAGTGGAGTCCAAATAATGATTGCTGACAAGTGATTTGGGCTCTCCTAATATTAATCAAAGATAAATTAAAGACCATCTATATACGAATTGAGATCTGCTCCTCACCCAGCCAGAAGCCACGCGAAAAGCTGTTGGGTGAAAAGCTGTTGGCACATAACTTATATGCCAGAAGCCAGCGCTCCTTACAAGTGGGCACATAACTTATATGGGTTGTCCGTGTGGAGCACGTCTTAGGAAGTGAAAAGCTGTTGGCTGTTGTACTTCAACCCTCCCAAACAAGTGAACAGTGGTGGGTTCCGGTTCTCTATGCAAAAGTTTTCCTGTCGGGCCAGGTTTTTATTTTTTTTTTCACGTTTAATTGGGGCCAATCATCTCCAGGGTACGGATGAGAACTGTTCATCTTCCTCTTCCAACGATGTCAAGCAAATAAACCAGCATTTCCTTCTAATTTCGTTTAAGGGCTAGACAGGTACATTCATTCAATCTTCTTTGTATACATTAACAGATGTATCCCTGCTTAGTTTCCTCAGCTGTCAGTGTGAATAATGGTGCAGGAGCAATTACAGAGGAAATTGCGATTCATTGGCATCGTTCGGGTCAAATAGTAATGCTATACTGCTATATAGTCACTGTCTAGATCATACTATATATAGCCACTATCGATGGTAAAATGACAGTATACGATGACCCTTTGGTGGTGTGATGCACAAATATGGGCAGTTTCAGAAACATCTTGTTTATCTTACAGTGCTTCAGTGGTCTTGTTTTAAGTAACTGTTTGACAATGTAGTATTGATTATTGATATTTGGGGTGTTGTCTCATTAGATGATTTTTCAAATATACAGATTAGACAATTTACCAAAGAATTAGGAAACAAGTTCGCTTTTATTATTATTATTTTTTTTTCAGAACCACCATACTTGCTTCGTATGGTTCTCAGCTTTGACTTGGCTACCATTAGTGCAAGCATGTCTTGCCCTACCTTATATAGTAAATGCACCTTTTTCATTCCCTGTTGATGTTTTAATGAATACTGATGGAGCAATGTTAAACATTTGATTTACATTCTTTAAGAATGATGAAATGAATGCAGAACAATGAAGCCCATTATGTGAAGAATTCTCGAATCAGAGTTGTACGGAGCATGTTAGTGGTGTAAAGTACAGATTGGTTCTGGGCTGGCACTTATGGCTCCAGTACATCCTCGCTCCTCTGGGTAGTGGAGTGGGAGTGAATAAATGCAATGGGTGAATGAAGCCCATCTTTAAAAGAATAACAATTTGAGTCATCTCAGTACAATGAAAATGCATAATTTGATCAGAATCAGATTGCTTAGTGGTGCTTCTATTTTTACCATGCGAGTTATGCATATTATATGTGAATCTTAGAAATTATAAAAAGCCAAGCAGTATTGAATGGATAAAGTCTTAGGACCATCACACATCATAGAAATTATAAACCGTGGAGCAGTATCAATGTTATACAAGTTCATGTTTCTGTGACTTTGTATCAACCTGTCAGGGGGCCATTGCTTGGTGCATTGGTGAAGTCTTAGGCAGTCAGACTGACAAGCAGATCACAGGTTTAAGTCTCAGGGTGGCCAACTTTGTGCTCCCCCCCCCCCCAAAAAAAAAAAAACAAAAAACAAAAAACAAAAGAAAATAAATAAATAAAAAGCAAAAGATTATGTCTGTATCCATCCTATCTCTTCCAATATCCTGGATAGCCAGGACCATCATTCAGTAATGGTCCTTTTTTCTGTGCCTCTTATTTGCTTCAATTTCTCACATTGTGGGTCCAATGACATTTGAAAATTAAAGCAAGAAGGAATCTTATAATGATTCTGATATTTGACATGCTCATATGCATAAGAACTAAGAGGGTCAGAAATGGAGCAACTCCATGATTGTTATGCTTCTCTACTGATGGAATAAGCAGAAGAGATGTGGAGCCAGACAAGAGAGAGGAATTTAAACAGATGATGCTTAGCTGTGGTAAACTTGTGACCTGAACAAGATAGGAAGTCAGATTATATTTTTTTATTTATAACTAAAACCAAAGGATGATACCGGTAAACCTCAATCCCCTTTTGGTGATATATGTTTCTTGCTTCCTCTTATCTTGTTTGAATCTGTTTCTCATTGGTTGATGGGACTACATCTTAAGGTTTTTATATGGATGATGCTCAGCTTTTGCAAACTTGCCATCTGAACTAGATAGGAAGTCCGATTATAAACCATTTTGATTTATAACTACAATGAATGGATAATACCAGAAAACCTCAATCCCCTTTTGGTAGTATATGCTTGCCTGCTCTTATCTTGTTTGAATCTATTTCTCATTGGTTGATGAAACTACATCTGAAGTTTTTTTTCTTTTTTTTTTTTTATGCAGTTCATTTTGGTTGTGTTATTTCAGTTCTTTTAGCTGAAATGACAATTTGGTAGATCAGATTAAATTGATGAATAGATATTTATTATGCAAATGTCCAGCTCCAAGATATATGTATAAAGTTTCCTTAAATTGATGTTTCATCTTGCACAAAATATTAGCCTGGCAGTACAGATTTTCAGGCATCATTTTCATCCACTTAGAACCATCTTCCAAGAGCCCTACCATTAGTCTCTGTATAAAGGATGTGCCCTATCATGGCTTGGCCATAGCTTTGGGTCTGCAGTAACTCATGGTTTTTCCATTCTTTTTATCTGATCATTATGTATCATTTGTTAACTGTTGTTTCTAATATTTTTGTCTGATATTTCAAAGTGTATTCAATTTACATTGTGGACTTACATGAAGTGAACTATTTAGAAGACATTTCACATAGTAAAAGAAATAAACTATGGTCAGGTTGCATTCAGGTTTAATTAGGCCAATGATTATGACATTTATAGCCATTTGAGTCAAAGGCGCATGTTTATTAGGTGGTCAGTTATTAGAGGTGAAAATGATTCCAAATTATGTACATGTCAAAAAAAAAGGATACATGGATGTTTGATTCTTCATGCATACAAGGTTTTGAAATGTTTGTACCTTAAGAGGTGCATGATCTCATGTCATTCATCTGGAATCTTGAAAACAAACAATTTACTATTTCTTTGGCTAATTCATTCTTTTTTAATTTTTCTAGTTTTTAACATGTTTTTGTAAATTTCATTTATCAGTTGGGTTTTTTTTCCTCTCATCTTTGGCAATTTATATAACTTCAAACTTGTACAGTCTAGTGAGCATAAATCAGAAACTCTATTTTTCCTATAAAGTGCAAACTGGAGTTCTCAGGCGTTATCATTTATGACCATCAAGCAGTTAAACGAATCTGCTGAAAAAGATCTTGATCAAAAAATGCGATGGTGAGAGAGAAATCTGCAACTATATTAATGGCACATTAACTGCTTATATTTCATTCTGTACCTGAAACTTGTCTAGCTGCTAACATTTCTTTCTCTTTTGTAAGATATGTTTGACTAGAACCAACTCTTGCTTAACTTACATAACAGATCATCTCCAAAAGGTATGTTTCTCATTATGGTTTCTCTTCGGACAAACAAAATCAATCTGTCTACCTTTTGCGTTTGGACTTTAAAGCTGTCATTGATTGAGAATTACTGTGCCAATTCCGCTTCCTTTGGTTGATGAACCAATTGTTAATTTGTTTTAGCTGTAAGCCTGTCTCCTCCACTAGTTTTGCCTTGTCATCTTCCTGTAAAGATAAATGAAGTACATGTTATAAATGAACAATATGCCATAACTTCAGCTTAAGCCAGACTTTAAGTTACATAAAAAATAGAATCATAAACCCAAATACCACTAATTGACAAAAGCAACCCGTTCTGTCAAGTGTCAACAAGTGATAAAATGCATACAAGTTTAAACTGCAGATTTGATAAGAAAATAGAATTCTATTTTTATAGTGTAAAAGTATGAAAATGCACTTTCTGTGCCTTAGGAGAAGGAAAATAGTTCCTAAATCCTGGCTGATAAACATCATTATGAGATTCCTGGAGTTACATGTGTTCTTTCAATCATTGCATTTGGACTTTGTAGAGAACATTGATGTGGGCCCCACA